ATTCCGGCTGGGACTCCAAGTGTTCCCAGCTCTGACAGTGGCCGTTCCTGTGCTGCAGAAGTGGCAAAGTCTTAGAAAATACTTGGGCTGTATAACTTAGTCTCATGATTTCATACTGGCACCAAGGGAGGGCAGGAAGTTCAGCCTACTCGGAAGCCTGGGCCTCTTTGCCAGTCTCATTTTAAGAAGAGTGATGGAAGCCATGGACTAGTTTCAGTGATGCATTTCCTCCAGCGGACACTTACGTCACCTCCTTGGGCAGATGGGCGAGGAGCCGTGACTCTCGAAGCATGCCTATTGTAGAGCGCCAGTGATGATTTTCTAGCACTGAAACATTCTAGGGAGCAATAAAAGGAATAAATTCAAGGATTAGGCAGGTATCCATGGTACAGATACAGATTTGCCATATCATATGATGCCTAGAGCTGGTTGGAAGTGCTGTAACACAAGCCTAAAATGTGTGCTTTTTAGCCACCTTTTGGATTTGAAGAATTGGTCTGGATTTCTAGAGTTAAGGACCTTGTGCTTCTCGGTTTCCTAGAGAAGGTCAGCCCTAGAGTCCTGTTGTTCTACAGTTTTTGAGTCCTGCTGTGAACAGAGGAGCTAATCTCATCTGAGTGGGAGGTAGCTTGCATTCTAACAGATTTATTAACAAATGAATTAAAGCATGAGTGCAAAATCATATTTTTACCTCCCACTGATCCCAGGTTGACTTCTCAGCTTCTACAGTTTGAATGCAGAACAGACAAGAAAAAGAAAACTAAACTGCTGAGTTTCCCTTGGAGTCAGGGAACTGGAAGCTGCCTGCAGCTGCTTAATGAAAGCAAGAGGAGTATCAGTATCACTGAGCATCTGCAGGCTTCAGCAACTTAGTCTGCAACAAATTTTGAGTCTTTTTTGTTTGTTTGTTTCCAGCTAAGTGGAACCAAAGTTAGATCGGAAAAAATTCCTACGGAACAGAAACCCAGCTTTCTAGGTTGTCTGTAAATTACAACAAATTGGGTATCTTGTGTCTGATGACTTTATATTACTGTCCTAACACACAATGCATTTGCCAATCATCACTTGTTTAGTTCAGAGAGTATTTTCTACCACTGAACACCTCAGAAATGTCACTTGTTCAGAAACCTCTAACACAATTCTTTTAATTCACAAAAGCATCTGCTTGCTGGGCCCAGCGGAGCGCCCCTCCAGTGAATGGCACAGTCCACAGTTATCCACAACAACGTGCACAGTGTGAATGAGACGACTGTCACCTAGGAATAGGGACACTCTCGGGGGAGTTATGGCATCTGATCCCTGTTTTGGGCAGTTTATGGCTTTTGCAGTAGATGAGCACTGGATTAAAAAAACCCCAAACACAACCAAAACTTTTGGGCAGGTAGCAGAGCAAGGACTCCACCTCGTCACTGCCAACTGGGAAACTAGAGACAGAATCCCTCTCTCTGGCCACTGTTAATCTCTGGCTCCCTTCTGCACAGTGCCACAGCTCTGAGGTGTAGCTGCATTAGTGCTGCCTTTCCTGTTGGATGGATGCACAGCTTCCACTTCTCCAAGAGGGACCGAACGGTATTTTCTCCTTAAGGCTTCCCCATCCTCCTTTGTAATCCTGTCATATCTAATGACTGCTGAAACACCAAATGTTGCCAGTAACCACGATCCAATTTGCATTTTGATCATCTTGTCAGTATTTTTCTTGAAATCTAGTGCAAAGGTGAGAGTGCAAATTTCCTGTTACAGTATTTTCTGCAGTACGTTCTGTTGCTTTTGAATTCACACAACCACTGATATGTTGCTTTGGTATTTCTTTAGTGTTTTTTCTGTTGTTGTTGTTGGGGTTTTTTTGGTTGGTTTTTTTTTGTTTGTTTCCCTAATAGAAATCATGGATACTGGGGGAAAAAACCAAACCAAACCAAACCAAACCAAACCCCAAAACTTTCCAACCATGCAAAGACTAAGTCCTTTTCCTTGGAAGAGCTGACAGACTCAGAACTCAGGATCAGCTATGCAGTATCTAAATTACTTTTGAGAGCAATTCTGTTCAGTAGCCAACTTAAATACCCCTCTTCTCCTTTTGCCTAAGTACATCAGGATGGACTTTTGCAACCCTACACTCTGACCAAGAAAAATAAGGGAATGTAATAGGACATAACAACAAATTTTTTTTCTTCACTTCCCCAGTCTCAGAGCTGAATCCTGGTCCCAACAGTCACCCCAAGTCCACAGGCTGCCATCTTCCTGCCCTAAGGTAAATTAGACAAACCCTGACTGTCACCTTTGGCTTTTGGGAAGGCTTACACCTGTTTAACACAGTGCCTGTGTGCACAGTTCCTGCCGCCCCGGTTTGACTGCACCCTTGAAACATCCCAACTGGGGAGATCCCCCTCAGAGCACCCTGTGCCCCCACGTCCCTTCCAGCACAGTGGCGTTACTTGCTGGGAGGAGCTGCTTCAGCAGCACCTACCTCAACCGGGGAATTACACTCCATGGATGCAGTTGCTCTTTGGCCATGCTGAAGGCCAGCCAGAACAGGGCTGAGTGTGTAGGTATCCAAGAACTCTCTTGCATCCAACTAATAGTTACTCAAAGGAAAAAGCAAACTTGGGTATCCATCCCAGAGCATTTCCACTTCTGCAAGTTTCTGCTCTTTGCCTGCTGCTATACGGAGAACTTAAACCGAAGCTGCTGCACTGTCTAGTTTCCCACACTTAAAGCACACGGAGGAGGGAAAAGGAAAGGTCAAGTTAACAAGTGACAACTGAGCATGAAGTCATATGACTCCCCTGTTAAATGCAAGCAGCCAGAACACCTGAAGCTGCTGCCAACAATTAGTAGAGTCAGCTATTCCACCTAGGAACACTCTACTGCCTTATTAAGACTAATTGCCATGAGCTATCTGATTGCCTATGCTGGTGGGGAGACAACCCATGCAGGAAAAAGTCTATGTGCTGCCTTGCAGACTGGGGTTCTCAGCTCTGATCTCCAGAGACCTTGCTTCCCCCAACTTTTTATTTTTTTTTAAAACTCAGTAGCACAGGTTTGTTTTAAAGGCAGCATGCTAGGATGCCCCTGTCACATCTCCTGCCTAAAATTAGTGGATTGCTGTAACACAGACTTCAGGACTGTGAGGAAAAAAACAGGTTTTTCACTTAGACTATCAAAAAATCTCCAATCTGTGACTTTCCCCGAGCCATTCAAACTACCACACTTGACGTATGCATTTGGAAAAGAATAATAACTTGAAGAGAGGAAGACTTGCTATTAACTAGGAGCAGAGAAAACTTCAATTTTAATTGAGAGTGGAAGGCAATCTAAATTTCTTTCAATCTGGTCATCTGTTCTTAGTCACTGAGCAATTGGTTTAACTACGCAATGTTAAATACCTGAAAAATGATACTTCAATTAGAAATGGCGCTTTTAAGGAAGACTGCAAAGTAGAACTGTCATAACTGATGCCCAAAACATATATTTTCCTGTTTCTAGTTTATATACAACTATATTAAAGTTGTAAAGCGTTCTTTCATAGATTTCTGAAACCTGTTTTGTACTACAGATGTGTGTGATCACTGCAGACTTCTAAACTACTGCCCTTCTTTTAAGAGCCAGACAAAGATAGATCTCAACTCTCTATTACTGAAGTTATAAAATAACATTTTATTTACATCAATTCTATTTGTTTTCTTAGGAAATTAATAATCATTTTCAGTAAAAGTTAATTTTTTTTTAAAAAAAGGCAGTATGACTTTTTCTGGTGTTAGGTTTGATGTGGAGTTTTGGATAAATACAAGGCAGGATTGTATCAGGCTGAGCAACCTTGAATTGTATGCTGCTTTCAGTCAAAAGAAGCAGAAATAATGTTGGATAAGCCAAATGTATCAACCAGAATCTGAGTCATTTGTGACTTTGAAGGGTCCAGAGTCCTAAGACAATGATTATCAAGCAAGAATAAAACTTTTGTTTTTCATTTTAATGGCCACTGAAAGTTAGAAGCGAAGTGTGCATCACATAACAAGGAATGCTGTTGTGCTCCTCACAGGAGGCTAAGTGACCTCCAGGTCCCTGCTGCCACCTTTTACACTCTCAACTGTCTTTGTAATGCTAGAGACTTGAATGAGGCACTTTTATTTTTGTGGAAAATTATGGTGCCTCGCATGCAATAGACTCTTGTGGAAATTACCCTATAGATTACAAAACAAAGTCTTGCATCATAAAATACGAATTTAATTTGAAAATGAATACTGAAAGTTCCGAACTCCTTGGTGATGACACCTGTCTTCCCGAAACGTGATTCTGCTCATATATGCCCTTCAGAAGCTGTCAAACACTTCGCATCTTTGTCAAATACTGACCGACCTCATTTTGCAAAACCTTTTTTTCCAGATGATTCAGATGTAAAGTTCTAATTTAAATTTACAAACAATCAAGAGCAAAGAGACGCCATAAACAGATAACCCTAAGTCTCAGTTACTACTGTCTCAGTGACAGATGACTGCCAATTATGTTAACTATGTTTTGTTTGACTATTTTTCTGATTAGTCACAGCAGTTCTGTGGATCTGCTATTTAAAAACCAAAAACCCCAGAACTTTTTTTTCAGTTTCAAGCGCGTGTTAAAGTACTAATATTGAGAAGAATATAATTTATTGTTTTAAAGACTATTCACTGAATCTAAATTTTTGACTAAAAATGTCTTCAACAAAACTTTTTTCCCAGCATTGTTATTTTTATTGACATTCATGTACTGTATACTACTAAAATCTTTGGAAATAATCTGGGATCAATTTCAGATAAAATAATAGAAATGAAACTTGCCAGTGAACATCCCTAAACAAGATACTTAAAAATCACATTTCCTTTTGAAAGGTTGCATTTGCTGTATTGTCACTGCCTTTTCTAACCAATGTTTGAAAGTGTATTCAAGCCCGGTTAGCTGAGCGGAATCCATCTCTCCAAGATAGTAGTATTTTATTTTAGCTGCATTTCTTTCAGATTAGCCTGAATTTCCAACCTAATTATATATTACTGTTTCCAGTAATAATAGTGGGTGTATAAATTTGAGAAGGAGTTGTTCATACCTTTTCATAGGGCCAGGGTTTTTGTGGAATAGCTCTACCCACTCCTCTTCAAAAGATCCTTAACATAACCTTCCCAAAGTCCCCTGGCTTAGTCCCCTGGCTTTTCTCTCTCCCCGCTCAGCTGGCCTGACATTTAGAAAAGACTGGAGCAAAATGCACCACACATGTATGGGTATGACAACTCTCGATTTCCTAAGTATGAGTAGAAAGGTACGTAGCTATCAGTGAGTCTTCTTCAGTTAGGTTCATTTTTAACTTGGGATATTCTGTTTCTGATACCTTACTACAAAGGCTGAAGCTGACTCTTCCGAAGGCTACAAAACAATACCATCTCCATTTATTAGCTATGAATTACGGTTAGTGCAACCAAGATGATTTACAGTATTGCTCCGGCGTGTATATGTAAGTATAATGTAAACAGTAGAGATGTGTATATATAATCATGTGTACATGCATGCAAAGATTATACACATAGGACAGTTGTAGATAAAATCCAGAGTTACAGTGATTGCCATGGGACAAAACTACAAATATATTCAAGAAGGACCACAAAAATCAGGGCAGGATAGGTTCATTGATAGTTATTGAACAAGAGGGTCTATGTTTTTGTTTCAGGAGGTCTTCTACTCCTGCTTGCCAGAGATGGGAGGATGTATACCAGGTGAAGGACAACTCTGTACTTATCCCAGGCTTATATTTCTCTCTGAGATCTTTTGCTGGCTGCTCTTAGAAAAAGGATACCGGCCTAGACAGCCTGTGGTGTGACCTACAGTGGCTGTTTTAACTTCTTTCTTCATATCTCTAGGCACGTTTGGGTAAACATCTACAGCTTTTCCCTTGGTTTCCTCTATCTTCTATTTTTTTTTTTAAATTGCAGTATTCATTAAGTGTTTAATTTTACTAGAGCCACATGAAGCAAAAGTTTCTTTTAATGCAATGCCAATTTAGAACGTGCCTGCTGCTTGCTTGCTCACCGAAGGAAGATGAAGTACAAATTGTCTCCCCGTGATTTTAAATCTCCTACCCACAGTTCCTTACCCCAGATATCTACAGCAGAAATAACCCAGGCAACTGATTTGGCTTAAATGTCCTCAACAAAATCTGACATTTCCACTTTCTTTCTCATGTGTATATCAGCTTTGCTCCAAAAGACACCCAGTGAGGAGCTTAACTGAAATTGTCCAGACTCTAAAGTGCAGGTTGATTCGATCAACATCCCCCCACTGCCAGATTTCAGCATGAAAGTTCACTGCAAATTGCTTAGACCCTCCTTGACATCATTTTACATATTATCAACTCGATCAGTTGCAGTTTTACCTGGTACAGGCTGGCAAGGTGGTGTTTAGTTTTGATCAGAAAGGGCTGGTTGACCCCCGGATGATCCACATCATGAGCCGCAGCAGCTAGCAGTCCAAGCATAATGTCCGATGGGGTGAGGAAGTTGGCAAGCTGAATCACACACGTTAATCACAACAAGAACATGAACAGTAAATACTTTTTTTTCTTTTGGCAAATAAAGGAATCAGCTAACATCATGGCAGTGCTTAGTTTTGTAGGACAGTACACAAATGTCAAATATAAAATTTTGTGAACTACATTTTTAAGGTGACTGTTGAACAAACATCTATAAAGATATCAGACTATATACTCATATTTTATTACAGTTTGTACTTCTTATCTCTTTATCATTTATAGCAATATAAGGATTGTTGTTATAGAAGTGCTTGAGCTTGGTCTAAAAGATTCAGTTTTAAAAAGTAAGTATACTAGCAGGTTGGCATACGTTAGCATACCTGATAAGGCCTCTGCCTCACACAGTATTTAGTAATGCCAACAATACATCAGGCTTCATATTTTCCAGCACAGCACTGTGCTGTAAAATGCAGAGTTTATAAACTTTTGAAATTTCAGACTTGGCTGTTAGGTATCTCAGTTCAAACATAGGTATTTTATTAGAGAACATAATTTACTTTTCTAACTTTGGACATCCAAATTTGAAAACCTGCCCAGATTTTTTTGTACTATACAGCTTATCATTCGGAAGCAAATTTTTTTGTCATTGGGAAAAAAAATTGAAGTCTTAGCATTTTCTGTTTCTGAGCGTGAGGTAGTTATTACCGGCCTGATGAGTCTTTACAGAGTACAGGTCTATGAGCTGAAGGAAGCATCCTGTGATGAGAAATGAAGAGCAGTATGGTACAGATTCTGGATATTGGCTGTCCTCGGCACTTTTTGACAGCAGGGACTTGCAGATCTTGCGGGAGATGGAAATACAGGAAAGCTGAGGCCTGCTCCTGTCCTCACTTACCATTACTATATTCTGGTCTAACAATTTGCTAATCCTAGCAGAACTTCCCTTCATTTAAGTCAAGCCAGGAAAGGTTAGTTACATTCTTACGCTGTGGCTCAGCATTACAGTATTACAGTGCCTTCCAGTGAGACATAAAGCAACGTCACACCCTGACGTTGTGAGGGCTTGCTGCAGCAGTCAGAAGCTGCTGTTCACTCATGCAGAGGACACCCTTGCAACAGACCCGGTCAAAGGGAACATTTTCCCCTTTTCTGGTGCTGCACTGCCAAATTCGGTATCTTGAAATATCGATGTGAGGGGCTTAGGCCCTGAAGGGACTGAGGCACGGGCATGCGCTGCCTTCTACTGGCTTTGCTGGGAGGACTGCAGCCCCTCGCAGATGGCTGGTACGCACGGTCACGGTAACACTTGCTGGCACTCGTATGACAGCACTTTGATATGTTGCCTGCGTGATGACAGGTGACTCCAGTAGTTTGTTTAAAGTGTCTGTAATCTGTAGCTGACTCTGCTACTGCCTTGTTGCTGACTTCAAGTACGCAGTCGTTTTCCGCTATCTAAAAATATTTTTTGGGGTTTTTTTTCAATCCTGGGAAAAAAAATTTGAGAATTATCTGAAAGCAACATCAGCGTGAAAGGTTGTCATTACCTTGGGCTCCCTCAGATAGCAGTGCATAGCTTGTGTGACATCAGCAGCATGGACAGCGTTGTGGTACGGGTTTTGGCTATGGTAATCTTCTTGAACCATAACTGGGAACCAAAACAGAAAATAAAGATCCTTTTGTCTCTGAATGCCATGGCCACACGTGGGAACTGGATTTAAAATATAATTTGAGGTTTTACAGTCAGCTGCCTAAGGAGTTTCTTCAAATATCTGTAGCTTACTTAGACTGGTGCTCTTATTGGAATACCTTTAGAGAAAAAATGCATGAAAGGATTTGTGAGGCCCAAGGGGATATACTGGGTCTAGTTCATAAATCAACTCTTTCTTGCCTTAGTGAAGGCTCTCATTCAGGAGTAAAATAAATAAGGAAGAGAGGCAAATTTATCCACAACGGAGTGTAATTATTTACGCTGCTGTCATAGGGGCGTAATGTCATTAAGGCAGTACCACCTATTTTACAGCGGCAGGGGGTGAGGCCCTGATACCCCGGCATCATTTGTTATTTGAGTGACTAGCAATGGTCAAAGGCATTCCTACATCCTCCAGACGGAGAATCAAAAGATAAAGCATTGGGGTATTCGGAGCAAAATCTTCTGTGATAATTTTAGTCACGTCTGCGCGTCCATTTTCAAATACCAGTCCTTCTTGTTTTAGTGTGCAGTGCTAGAACTGGTCCAGCTGGAAGACTGAGCGACAACCTTTTAACTCTCAGCTTTCACTCGCACAGAAAACCATCAAGGTGTGTGCTTCACACTCATCTGTTCCCTGCGCAGTGCCTGCACCGTTAGGTAGTCTCGGGGCAACACCACGTGAACAGTGGAAGCTGCACGTGTTCTTGCCCAAAGCGCTCTCCTAGATACTATCAAATTAATCAAACAGAAAGGTAACGGGCAAATTTCCCATGGCACTCGTCTCCGGCATGGGGAAAGCCAAAGAAAGTCCTAGCCTTCAGTTTGTTTCCAGCTCCACAAGCATTTGAAGTCACAGCGGCTAATCCTTTAAACCCTGAATACCGCTAGCTCTAATTATCTGAGCGTCCACTTCACGGCCGCCCACAGGAGTCAGAAACAGCAGGGAGATTTTGTCTGTCTCCACACTGGAGGAATGCTTTCCAGAAGCTACAATTACACAGTCTTAAAGAAGAGACCTTGCCTTTGAAACTCCGTCTGACAGCCTAACAAACGGGCATTCAGCTGCATTCAAAACATGATGCAAAAAGTAATTGATTTTGGCCAATTTCTTTTGGTTCGCTGACAGCATGGGGCTAATATTTCTGTTGGCAGTAACAGCAGCAGGGGCTTTCGTCAACACTATTCGGTGCAGACAGCTTGATATAATTTGTTAAATTTTGCACATAAGCTTTTAACTGCCCTGGGTCTCAGTGGTCTATTAGTCACTAAAATAATGACTCTGCACCACAATTGTACTGTGCACGGGTAGGTTCTGCAATGTCTGTCTGTCTGTGTGGGCCTACTCGGCCAGCCACATCTCTGCATGGCATCCTTTTTTTTAAATCACCAGTGCAATTGTGGTACTGGGATGCTTCAGCCCAATGCAGGGCCTTTTGAAGTCCCTCCATTGACTTAACAGGTACTGAACCAAGTACCTGAGTGCCTGTAAATTGTATGCTAATATGTATCACAGAAATGTTTTACTGAAATATTTGCAACAATATCATGATTTTACATAGATGCGCAGACCAAGCCAGTGCCTTCTTTGATGCCCTATTTAAGCTGTAAACTGCATTTAAAGATGGCTTTGAGATGAGCACTTACCTAAAAACCTGTGTAATGTAACCATATCTAACTGGAAATGGTGAATAAGTCCATGCACATTGAAGAGGTGACAAAGCAGTGTTACGAGACTGTTTCCTAAAAGCAGAAAGGAACAACTCTTAGATTCCCTTAACGTGTAGTTATAAACCAAACAAGACTAAATATCTTGGTAATTTCCTAACTATTAGTCAGCTCCCATCACCTTAGCTCCTATCGTATGAGCTTAGATGACACTTTCATACTCCAAAGTAGCTTATATAAATTACTCCTATATATAATCAAGATTTGATGGTACGGCTGTACCGGTGGAGTGCCATTCTTGTGTCTAGATGCCATAAAGTCACGTTTGCCGTTTCAACACGACGCAGAAGGCAAATTGACATGGTTTTAACTGGAAATCTTTTGACAGGCTTGTTTGAGAACCACATCATCTTCATAATCCAGGTCTATCTCCAGAAATGACAGAAAGGAGAATGGCTTTTCTGCCACTTCAGTTTGCCATACTGTACTAATTAAATAATTACCGAGAAATCAGCAGTTTGTAATTAATTTTTTTATTTTACACATGGCTGTACAAACATGTAATTAGCCCACGTACCTAGCTCAGCTACAATTGCATCTCATAATGATGATGCAGACAGGAAAAAATGAGTTGCAGCATTTACGGTCTCAAGTCCCACTGTAATACTACGCTGGCCTTACTGTGAATCCAATACTGGGAACACTAGCAAAATTGAGCCTAACTAGTATTATACGATCAACTATACATACACACAGAATTTAAAAAAGTTTGCACTGCATAATTCAGCAGCAATGTTTCCAGAAAAGTTAGAAATAAAACCCCAGACCAACCAACCCAAACAACGTATAAACAATGTTTGAAGGAAGTCTTTTCTTATGTAATGTAATTCAGGAAAGAAAATAAATATATGTACAAAGAGGACATGGAAACTTATTTGGCCTTGACTACTGAGCAGGGGTGCAGAAAGGTAATTTAGAAGAATTATGCTTTTGCTTCCCTTGCCATTTGCTGTCCTTTCCATTCTTCACTCAGCTGAATTACCCTCTAAACCAACTTTTTTCTACACCTTCTGCCCCAGCCAGACCTTATTAGATTGGGGGTGAGGAATGAGGCATCTCATTCCTATGAGCAATACAGAAAGGAGAAAGGTGTGATCGTGACCCTCTTCAGCAGTTACCTGATCAAGAGGTATTGCCTAGACATGAGTGTGTGTGTGGTGTTACAGGCATATATTTAGACAAAACATTTCACAGGTTTTTACTGTCTTAATGAATTTCCTAATTTTTGCTGCTGAACAGAAGCAAGGGTATCTTCAGTTAAAGGTATTTCATGTTGATAGAAATCGACTGATTGTGGAGGTCTGTCTGGACTTATCGACCAATGTATCTAATAGGCGTATTTAAAGTATCTTTGGAATTTCCCAGGTAAAGGAAACTGAAACACCCCCTTGAAAAGGTGACCATAACAAATGTAGGAGATTAGATTAATACAAAAACACCCTTTATGCATTATCCTATAGTTGTTGAGTGTTCTGGGAAAAGCCTGAAAACGTTCAAGGATATGATTTTAAGAGAAGTTAACTGTGTTCAATTTCTCTTCAGTAATCTAAACTGGAAACATTTAGCAATTAATTAATTAGGGATTTTTAGAATAGCCATATATGAGAGATACTAAAGTAAAAACTTTTTTAAAAATTACTTACCGTTTGTCAAGCGGTCAAACAAGAAAATGTCAAAATCCCACATTCCCACTTTGGATAGCATATGCTAGAAAAAACAAATATGAAAAGGCAAATGACTGGCATGTCAAACTGTAAAGCAGATTTAAATTATTATTCCACATCAATCAATCACAGGATTGGTTGCTGCAGCTTTAAAGTTTTGTTTGGGAAAGCTATAGAGATGTATTTGAAATATCAGACATCAGGAACCGAGTGATGCTATTCTGCATAAAATATCACTTGCACTTCTAACTGAGAAGGTTTTTAACTTGACACTAAAAATACCTTCTAAATGGAGCTCAAAACATGGAATAATATAAAACAAAATATTCCCTTTCACTGCACAACTTTTTAATTGTTCTTTCATGTCCCAAAATCAATTCAGTACAAATTCTCTTATGTTTTTATTACAGTAAAACACAATCTTAGCTCTCATGGTGAGTATGAATTACATTTTGCTAAACAAACCAATACACAGGAATAGCTTTTATAAACTTAGCTACAGTGCTTCTGTGAAGCCCACTCAGCCACGCAGAAGAATCCATCGTTACCACCGTATACGGTGTTTTTACAGCTACATCAGTTCAGTCAAGAGACTGAGCCTGGACTAACTGTATGACCTACAATGGCATATGTGTGAATGAAGTGGGCATTCACTCCCATCGTTTAGTCTACATTCAAACCAGTTCTGGATTCTGAATTACTTTCTAGCACCTGGCACGTAATCTTCTCTTGCAGAGAATAAAAATTGCCTAGGCACATAATCCCAATGCCATCAGTTGTGCAAGTTTTGTTAGAAAATATCATTCAAAGCAAATATAAGATCTGCAAAATAAGAGAATTATGTTTTGATTATTGTGAAGTTCTTTGCAGTGAATGTTCGCTGTTTCCTAGCCTTTGCCATTACGGAGAGCTATTGTGGGTCGCCTAATCGGCTGCTCCGTACCAGCTGAGAGGCCGCTGTCTTTTTTCAAGCAGTTGAACTAAATCTTGTGCCGAGGCTGCACTTACTTAAATCAGTAACTCAGCCAGAGATCCTTCATCCTTTAATAAATCCAGATAATAATTTCAGTTGACAGAATCTGAAAATGCTGAATAGATTTAGACATTTTCTCATTGCTTTGAGACTAAGCCTTTAAAGCTGCAACCATAAAAGAGGAATGGACAGTTTGTTTGCTGTGAGGCAGGCAGGCAGGCAAGTAATGTGGGTCATTTAAGAAAGATCAGCCATATATCTGTTTATCTGAACACTGAAACAAAACTGACATTCTCCGAATATTATTAAAAGAAACGGAGATCTGGAGACCCGTCTTACCCTTGCTTGCCCAAGGTAGTCCTCATCCAGTAGGTACAGAGAGGCTTGTGGTACAATTCCACGCAGTAACCGGGATGCGTGGAAATACCTCTGGAAACTTAACAGTCTTTTCACTTTTTTCTTGGTGCCAATTTCCCCTGAGAGTGTAGTATCTGTGAAAAGCAATCAGTACAGAAACGATGAAACCCAAGATGAAGGATGACATTCTCAATTATTTAATAAGAGAAATAGCAAAAACTTTAAAATAGCGATACAAAAATCACAAAGTTCACGCTTCTTGCCAATCCACATGAAGGAGCAGTATTCAAATCCCTATACTTCAGCATAATATATTTGTTTATTTCAGAAAGGAAATACGTTCCAGTAAAAAGAGTACTAATGTAGGACTTGGAAGATCTGAGTTCAGTACACTGCCTGCCACAGACTTTAATGTGATCCAGGCTAAGTCACTGGGAGGGTGATGTATCACCTAACTGTAGAGGTCTAGAGGAAGCCTAAATGAGAGTTAGGTACGGGAAAGCTGCTCTTACTCTTCTGTGCGTCTGTTCCCTACCTATACAATGGAAAATAGCGTTACCTTGCTACCTCACAGGAGTGTCGCTGGAATATATTAAAATTGCATAGCACTAGCATACAAGGTGATCTTGGATATAAAACCAAAAAAGCAACACCAAAAGAGACCTCAAAATACAGTTTGAAAGCACAAATGTATGACCCGCTTTTGGAAAATGAGAGAAAAGAGAGAAAGAAGTAAGAATAGGTTAATAATCCTATTGTATTGTCTGCTGTCCTTCCTACATATTAGGGCAAATTATAAATGAAGAAAATATTTTAGTTCTACAGTTAGGAAAGCAAGTATATTCAGGCAATACATGCATTTCTGGTTACACAACAGAATATGTTCTTTTCACTCAGTACCAGGGTAATTCTAATTCCCTAATGCTGTATTAGGAGATTTTCATATAGGGCTAAATGTGACACAGAAACCAAGGCAGTTTTTATACAGTGATTAAATCACTAATTAGAGTAATTAAATTACCTTATTGTTAGTAAGAATAATATGCAGGCTTCCTAAAACTGATAATGACTTAGGTAATTTCATCTGAACTTTTAACAGAACCTCATGTACAGTTGTGATGTTTTCGTTTTGCAGTCTGGTATAAGTTTTGGAAAAAGGGAGGACAGAAACTGGACAGTTGTTCGAAGGTAGTAAGATTCAACACCGGTTTATTCGTAAGAGGACCCTCGTAAGAAACTGAAGATTAAGCACTCCTTCTAGGGAACAGTAATGATTGCTTGAGATAAGAAGCTCCAGAGCAATTCACTGGATTTCAGGTTTAAGTAAGAGCTCAGGAAAAATATGCATGGACTGAAGATGACTCTCTCTATTCTGCTATTTCTTTTTATGCAAAAATGCTGAGCGTTTGTTCTGCTGTGAAATTAAAATATGACTTTGTATGCTGTTTTTATGAGTATTATTATTCTGAGAGGGTTTTCAGAGAAGTCATTAAGGTTTTTTTGGATCATAGATGGTTCAGTATTTGATTTCTCCAACAGCAGATGTGCGAGCACCTTCTGTAGCAAGTTTCTTCCTTAAGTAATCCAACAGCTATTCAGTGACACAAAGTCAGTAACAACAAAAAAAAAACCCCATACTTACGTACTGACTATCAATAATTAATGTTTTCTTACACCTGTAAGTCTCACACATCTCATGGGCAGCCCAAAGACCCCACCGAGTTTTAATAATATAAAAGCACAAAATAATTTTATTGCAACTTGACAAGCCATGTGTTTTCAAGAATGCAAACAGTAACAATGTCACTACTGTACCAGCCTGAAGGTTAGATTTTCATTTATGATGTGCCAGCACCTGCCTTAATTCTCTCACACATTTTAAAAGCTGGAACAATTTCATGGCCTGTTGAAGGAGTGACTAACGTAGGTGCTAACAGTTACCCAGTGACAGCGACATGTGGAGGAACTGGTAGACTTGTTTTCACATATCTTTTCATTTATATAGTGCTGCTAAGAAGTGGCTGGCATTTAGTTTAATTCCTGGATAACAAAACACTCTCAAAATTAATTCAGTTTTTAAACTTTTGTCAGCTGTTTCTCAACTTCCCAACTTTCCTAATTCCATCTTTGCCCCCAGACTGTCACTGCTTTCAGGTAACAAGTTTAAATTTTGAAGTACAGAAAACTTCCCTTTTGTACATTAAAAATGAGTAGTTGCTCCAACTATTTTTATCTAAGTTAATATCTGTTTTTTCAGTTAAAGACAGATGGCCGAAATTACCACCTATGTTCCCCTAAACTGTCTTTAAAATTCACACGTGGAGTTGCTGTGGATGATCTGAAGGTGAAGGTTTGGCCCGAGTCCCAACAAGCAGCCGTACGTTGGATTATGAAGAAGTGGTTATTTTATCCTTTCGATTACCAGATTATTTCAGTAGCACAAATAATACTTACCAAACCACAAACACATCAGGTTGAAATAAATAATTTCTTATTGTGCAACATTTTCTGAATTGAACCATCAAACTTGTTGCCACTGCTTTGTCACATTGCTCCGCATGGTTGTCACGGGCCTCAACTGAAATTTAATCGTTGGCAGACAGCGCCTCTGAAACATGACTTGCTGCTTCAGATGAGCACTGTATTACAATACATTATGCAAAAAAGATTACCCGCAATAATGTGTTGCCCTGTATTTTCATTCATAAGGGAAGGAGTTCATAATACCGATAAAGAACGGTAGGAAATGTATTTTCAAAATCGGGTTCTTGACAGAACAGCCCGAATCCCACACTGCAGTCTATCCACATGCAAACTCTGGGTATCATGTTAAAATCACATCCTTTAGGTCATTTCAGCAATAATTGATTTGTCCATGAATCACAGAACTTGTCAGGTGATTGCTATGACCCCTATCAGATTGCTATGCCATCCGCAATAATGTACCTTATTATGATGGTGTCTTGCATAAAATTGGACTAAGACCATGCCCCTCTCCGAGCATAACACCCCGAACTATTACAATCTATCTCATCAGCATTTTCTCTTTCCCCTCCCAAGATCAGTGTCAAACAAAAAAGTAAAGCACAGCCATATGAAATTGAGAGAAAAAGGGCAATTAAAAAAGAGGAGCAAAAAGTGAAGCAGCTGAGACTGAATGCTGAAATTCTGTCCTCAGCTCAGCCGTCGTACCTCAATCTCCCAGCAGCAAAGAGCCATTCCTAGCACATGGGATCCACCAGCTGGCACAAAATCAAGATGCAGTTTGAAGATGAAATTAAGGGTTTATGTGAATGACTTACAGTGATATGCTGAACATCCCATTTCTTTATTGACAATTGTAAATTTCAATTTAAATTGTAAATATAAAATTTTGATGACGACACCTGATGTAAGCCATATAATGACTTTGAAACTTAAGGAGTTATTGATAGCTATTTCTAATTAGGTTAAATTGAATTACAAGTAAATGAATCAAAAATATCGTTGCAGATATCACTGAACTTCAATCGTGGAACTATGGGTACTAAAACATATGCTATATTATCTAGTTAAAGAACACAAGCTGCAAGGCTCACATGGGAAGGATTTAGTAATTATGTGCAATTTGGAAATGAACATGCGAGACAAACAACGTCTTTTGTTTATACCCGTAAAACTTCCCTTGAGAACTCTGTTTATCTTTAATCATTGTGGCAACTTCTGAATGTTTTGTTTACCTAAAAAAAGCCTCATCTGTATCTCTTAAAAGATGCACATTCTCATATCCTGTGGAGTTACTGCCTAGCACAGTGGTTGGAGAATCCCTTCTTCGTATAGCGAACAAAGTTATTGTGTGAATTACATACACATACACATATTGTATGAATTACATACACATACACATATTGTATGAATTACATACACATACACATATTGTATGAATTACATACACATTTACAGAAGCGTCTGTATAAGCATTCCTCACAAAGCTTCACTTCTACCTTCAAAAACACAGGCGGCCTGAGCTCACAGCTTATCTCCTGACATCTTTCAGCTGGCAGCAAAAGTAGTTGCGTTTTTCCTTGGGTAATTTGATAGCCACATCACGTATACACGCTATCAGATCATGGATGATGTCTGGATACTGCACGTGGCCCTCAAGAGGTTAATAAGCTACAGGAATCAATGGTTGCCTTCTCTCTCCTAACAAAGTTCCTCCAGTTACACAGACCTGCTTGCCTTAACATGATCTACGGCCCACCCACCCTCTGTTATTTCAGGGAAAGATGTTTCCTGCACTAGGAACTGCTACCAGTTTTCTTTCAGATTTCTTTCACATTGCTGCGCTAGCGTGTGCCCACAGGCAGCGTGAATATAAAAATGACAGAGGTTATGTTAACAATGGTTGAGTTAACATCCAGAAACGATCACATGAATCAAATTTGGACAAGGATGTACTTAACTCTGCACCAGACATTCATTACATTGTTATTGTTCTTTCAAAGTAAACAAACTTGGTTATGCATTCAAATGAGGCCTGTGTGTTTTCCTTTACAGTATCGCCTTTTTTTTATTTTATGGCACCTCAGCGTACAATAAAAACAGGTCACTCGGCAGCACGAGTGAATAACAACGGGTTTATTAATTTTCAAAAGCCAACTGATTGAGAAACAGAAAATGTTTTTCCTCTTCTTTCCAAAAGGATGCAGAATAAAACCAACATATATAAATCAGGTCATCAAGCGCCTGCCTTTGACTCATATAAGGTTTATAATACCCCTTCCCCTCTTCCGAGGACGCAAAGACATTCTGTACTCAGCCACTGCTCTACAACCGTACGCCCGAAGAGTCAGGCAGGATTGGTAGAAAAGTGCAGGAATATCTGGAAGATAAAGCAGGAGGATCAGACTAGCAATTCACCGTCCAGACAGTTTGCAAACAGCGAGGACTCTGGGACACAATTTGTCTCTGGTCCTATACGTTACGGAGGCAACTTCCTGCACTGGTTCCCGATGACAGCTGATTAGAATGCTTTTATTTGAGAGCTCAAGAGAGATGTAATTGACTTATGAGGAATAATTGGTGTTTCTCCATTTTTTTGTGTGTTAAATCATGCCAGGCATTTAGATCACCTTTACTGAAGTCTTGTTTG